ACACAAATGAATCGAATCAGCTAGTTAGGAGGCTCCGAATATAGAGGACACGAATCCAGTGAACAAATCGGGAAAATTTAGCCTTGGAACAATTTCCTGCGTATTAATGATACGAACTAGGGGTGTGCGATAGACTTACCTCCACGTGGTGCACCCTGGGCAACGTATACTCATACGGCAAAAAAAGTCTATTGACTGGCAGCTGACTTCTGACTTCAAACTACCATCACCCCGCTTTATGTCATATTCGACTATTTTCACAGTACTCACCTCACCTTCGTTCTGCCTTTGTGTTTGTCTCTTACATCTTTGAAACACTCTTCTGTCCCCCCCCCTCTCGACTTTATTTCAATTTGATGTTCCTTCCCCTCTGTGAAGCTTGAAGTCAACTAAAGGGCTAATGATAAATATCATAAAGCCTGCCATTTGATATAAATTTCAACAAAAATGAACCAAGAACACAAAGGAGAACATGCTCGTCTATACTGTCACGAATTCTTCGCATGAAACCCTTGAAAATGGTCTAGATGCATGATTCAACTCAAACGGTCTACTTAACAGGCCGTAGACTTCTCGATCAGAATTTGATTCCAGACAGACATCAATACAAGCCTTATCGGATAAAATGATGACAATGATAATAGCGACAGATTTGCCGGTAGAGATCTTCAAAATTACCAAATCGATCAATACAAAAAGACAATCTTCTTTCGACTTCAATAAGGAAGGGGGAGGCCGTTGGAGCCATTAAAGTATAGCCACCTAGGAGGACCATTAATTACGACATCATGTAATGATCAGGGAGAGAAAATAAATAAAGGACTTCTGCGTAAAAATCGAGTCAAATCGATCATAAAATTTGGATCGCTAAACCGTTCTGGGCGCACGGGTGAATAATACTTTCCTTTACCCTTATCTTGTTTTAAGCTAAAGCTATTACTTCTCAAATTTGATAGGGCAGAAGGTATGTATCTGATGGCAAAGTAGCTCGTTTGATAAGTGAGGTAGAATATGGATTAATTGGTATAATTACAGAACAATATTAAAAAAAACCACCCGAGCCCTATGCCCTCGGTCTTGAGAGGCATGTAGGTAACCAGCGAAAATGTAGAAAAGCCCGTAAAATAGCAATTCTAGTAAGTTGCCCAGAAAACAGTTTAACATAGATCCAAATAGCTACTTCACATCTCAATTTTGTTCATTTTCGATCTATTCTAAAGGAATAAACCTGCGAAAATCAATGAATTTTTTTCCTACTTATGCAATTTTCAAAATTAAATAATTAACTAAAATTTGAGCTTATTGACAAAAACAATTCTCAAAATGATTTTTAATGAAAGGTATCTTTATTAGCTAGTTTAACTAGTATATTGCAGTATTACTGCAGATGCGCAAGAACACCATTAACCCATAAAAAATGGTTTCACCTATCAATTTTGTGAGAAAATTACTACAAAAATAGTTAGTAACTTAACTAAGATGATCACTGAAAGGGCCCAAACGTCGTCAGCATATTCCTCTTTTCCAATTACGATGACGTAGGAAATAAGACCAAAATCAATAAGCTAATCAAACCGATGCTTTTATGAAAACCTAATTTAATAGTAAAACAAAAAACAGGCAAGTTATGGAAGAGAGCAAAGAGAACAACTCACTCCACTGGTTCTAAGAACTCCGGATTTGGGGTCGAGGTTGAAATGCTTATTAACGTCCTTACTTCCACCTTCTTGTAAAGGCGGAGGGGCTAAAGTGTATTGCAGCTCTGCTTGACCATCCCTATCCACCGCTGCTAGACTGGTAATTTCAACACCAGGAGGCGAATTCTCCATGACTGTGGCGGAGTAAACTCTCATTGGAAACTCTGGTGGATATTCGTTCACATCCTGAATCCGTAGATTTATTGTTCGCGTGGAATTTAATCGCGGGATGCCATAGTCATGACATCTAATTGTCGTTGTGACTTGTGTCTCCTGTTCATAATCAAAGGATCTAATGGTTCGAAGGGAATACAAATCTTGAGCACTGTGAGTCAATTCAAAGGCTGACTGGCTATCCAAATCACAAGAAGTACGAGCATTTTCACCAATATCAGCGTCCTCAACTCTGACCACAGCAATTTGGCCGGGAGGGGCGTTTTCTTGTACTACGAGGTCATCAGGAAATTTACTCATCTCTCCAGAGGGGACAATCTCAATGATAGGTCGATTATCATTGGCATCCTTAACATCAATCTGAACTTCAACATTTGAGGCCGGGTATCCTGTACATTCAGTAGCCACAGTATTGCAAGCAACAACCTTGAAATTGTAATACCCACGAATCTTAGCATCCAATGGTCGACGCAACCTGATTTCACCAGTATTGGGGACGATTTCGAAAGTATCTATAAGATCTAGATCAACTAGTTCATGGAAAGAGTAAAATATCCGGGCATTTTCCCCTGAATCTGCATCAGAGGCATTCAATTTGAGTATTGTATTTCCAGGGGGGAAAGATTCCAAAGCTGTAAATTGATATCGCCGATTAGGGAATGTAGGGAAGTTATCGTTCACATCTTCAATCTCAATCAGGACTTCAATTGAAGTACAATAATCAATATCGCATGCAGACAAAATACCAGAGTAATTAGCTCGTAATTCTCGATCAATTGGTGCATTTAAACGCAGTCGAATAGCTGGAAGATTGGATTGGTCTAGACTGAAAGTATCTGTCGGTTCAGACCATTGATACCTCGTTATTTGGTTCCGTGGATCAACATCAGAATCTACGGCTGGTCGTAGGCCTATAAGTTTTCCAACTTCTGAATTTTCTGGAATAGTCACCCGTTGAGTATCACTGGAGAAAGACGGTCGATTATCATTCACATCATTAACCTTGACCACCAACTTAAGGGAAATCCAATAGGATTTAGAGCGAGTTTCAATAACAACAACGTTCACATTGATCCTACAATCAACAACACCACAGCATTGTCTGTGCTTTTGGCAGAGGGTTTCCCGATCAAGATCTTGCTTCACTTTTATATCCCCCGTCCGGCTGTCTACGCTAAACAAGACAACGTCACAGATAAATTCTGGTATTTTATCGACTGAGGATGGCACCGAATCTCGGAGAGAACCAATAGTTGAATTCACTTCTGTTCCTTCAAAAATCTCTATTTCGTGTGTAATTTCGCTTCTCACGGAGCGCGTTGTGAAGGCAAGCGCAAGGAAAACAACAAATAACCTTTTCAACATTATGACACATGGATAACAAAGAGTAGAAAGAGCAAAATAGGCGATTTGAGGAGAAAATCAGAGGGATTGTGGCGTGCAGATCATCAGTGGGACACGCACAAAAGGCACGAACACGGCTAAACTCGGTAACACAGATTTGTGCCAGCCAAAAGTGTTGGCTTGAGGTTAGGCCCTTGTAGTGGAGGGAAAAAGTGTGTTCATGCGTGCTAGAAGCGTGCGGATCTACATACGCATTCCTTAACCAATTATATTGTGCGTCAAACGGGCAGACATACGCACGCACTCATGAAGTAAACCAATTGTATCGCCGCGTGGGGTTGCACGACGTCAGGCCACCTGGCTTGTAGGATTTTAAAGTGGCTGACGCATACAGTCATTGGTTTGTGTGCGTTGTGTGTACAGGCGACTTGGGGCACAGATAAGAGGTTCTGGGGCCAAGCCATTGGTTAATGGGACGCTGACACACAGTACCACGTGTTTCTAGTCCGTCATGCAGTTCAATGCTAACTTTGGTTCGTATGTTTTGAATGCTTTAAGGGGGCCCAGGAAGAACGATGCTAGCGTTTTCTTGGTACTGGTGGAAATAAAAATGGGTTCTAGACGCTAGATTAATTATTTACATGCCTGTGTCAACTAATTTTGTTTTAGGAGAAAGTGGTTTCGACTCCCCAGTTTGGAGATGCAATTGTTCTTTGTAGATATGGGCTTCTGTAAGCTGGTTTCTACCAGCCAGGATATCAATCTTTTCTCTGCCAAAAAGGGGATAATAAATGGCTAAATAAGGGAACTCAGGTAGACACTGCCTGGGAGATCTGTCATAAATTTTAAAACTGCTTTTTTTGGAATTGCTTGTTATAATATTGTTAGCCATGGCATAGCAAAAAGCTTTATCTTCCATTTTGTAAAACCAACTGAGTTCTAATACAAGTAATGTACATTAATAAAGAAAGAAGAGAGGGTGGGTAAGATTTTTTGAATATAATCAGATCGACAGAAAAGACATTAGGCACTTGATGATCTATGCACAATACTTCATCAATGCCGCGCTCATTGTTTTATTTCCTAAATTTCGAACTTTCTTTTCCTTCATAGTTTACCAAACAAGTGTCTCGTGCAAATTGGTCACTTCGATTCACTTTTATTCTTACGAATGCAGAGTTTGCAGAATGTTGCAATTTTGCATGGTTTTCACAATACTATTGCGAGTAGAATGGATTGATTTGGGCAACAATGGTAGCCTTAATAGCAGTATAGTTACTGACTGCAGGAAAGCTCTAATTAGTGTAGATTAATATTAGCTTATAAGTTTACTTGAACTTAAAAACAAATGATCAAAATCGTTTATTTTTATGGAATATGAAAGTGAAAGAATAGGGGATAGAATGGGTCTTTTTTAAAAAAATAAGTTTCTCAATTTATTTCAGCGTACTAGATGAAATATAATGAATTCCCATTTATTACTTCTTAAGATCAATAATTTCATCATTCTCATTCATATTTGGGCCTTTAAGCAGTCCTTATTTATGGATGATAAATTCCAAGTTCTGGTAAGAAAATCAAATTCTGCCAATCTCTAAATTAGTCGAAAATGTGGTGTACGATAGGCTTACCTCCACTTGGAACACCCTAGGCAACCTATACCCGTACGACAAAGAAGTCTATAAATCGGCAGTTGACCTCTGGCTTCAAACTACCACGACCCCACTGTATATCATATTCGACCACTTTCACAGTACTCATTTTACCTTTTCTCTACCTTTGTGTCTGTCTGTCTCTTTCACGTCTGCGAATCACTCTTCTGTTCCTCCTCTCGAATGTTTGTGACTTTGGTGTTCCTCCCCTCCGTGAATCCCGAAGTCCTCTAGAGGGCTAATAATAACTATCATAACGCCTGACACTTTACATAAATAAATAGACAAAATTAGCATTTATGATTGGCCATTCTATCAACTTGGCGAACCCGATTGGAAACAAACTCGTGACCTCTTACTCACCAGAGCTCAATCTGACAAAGACGCTCAGGTCTACTTTATACTTCAAAGTGTTCAAATGACTTCGTCAACTCTCTCGTTTAGATTTATTAATTCTTATGAGATATTTGCTCTCCATCCAAACTTTTGCGAGGTATTCGATCGAAATGCTCTAGAGTATAATTAATGTTACATAGTTTAGCGATTTTAAGCAATGGGGGGGGGGGTCAGTTGGCATTATCTAAAAAGTAATAAAATGTTTCTATTGATTTTTAATCGTCTCGGTTCTATTAACCATTCCATGGATGTAGGGTATTGAGAATGGCTTTTAATCAAATTTAACAATATATATTTGATAATTGATAATTGATTCTATTTAGTCTCATTGTTAACTGAATCTGGCACCATTTGTGCTTAGCATTCGCACGTCAGCACCAGTTAGTCGATTGCACATATTTAGAACTGCACAATTGCAAAGTATTTAGATTATCGAGTGTTACGATTTATACACTTGTTGTCCTTGTTTGTTGTAACTGTAAAAGTTTAGATTTAACAAATCACAAAATTTTAAACATTCTTGCTTAAAAATGTAAACTGGAAAATTTCCAATGACGCATGCCAGGAACGAATTGGTGCGGGATGAACTTATTGACGTAAGAACATAGACATATTTCATAACGTTCATTTAAATGGGCCATACTCCAGTTAATGAAGTCATTTGACTAGAAGCGGGAAGCTTTCCAATGCAGGACTATAGTACTAAAGCATCTGAATTCTGTCCCTATGCTCTAAGTTTGTACTGTTTTTTTTACAAGCAGTAGTTAACCCAGAACTTGGAATAAAGATAGAAGTGCCGTTTTTCTGACGTATTCATCACTGACTATTTAGTTAGCTTAAAGTCACCTATATATTTTGAAGTTGATCGTCATACGCACCTGACCGATGCAGACTAGATTCTCAAGTGAGGCGTATCAAGGCCTGTTGAAAGGGAAGAAGGAAGACACAAAGGCCTTTCAGGAAATTTAGCATTCCGAGGCGAACACTAAGCTCAAGGGCTTGAGTTTTTTTCAGCGAAGTCTTCCATTATTTGCGTCCAAAATATCACTGCTTCATAACTTAGTTACATATAATGATACTATTCTTGAAAATAGTGCGCTCCAAGAAATGGTCCTTTAATAACTTCACTTATTTGTCACCAAATGAACGTTGTTTAATGGTAAAATATCACTTTAATGCCGTTCATCATGGCCTAATAATGTTTGCAATAACTTTGCCTATTAAAAATTGAATTATTTACAGGTTTTCTATTGATTGAAGTGAATAATCAATTGCAATTTTGCGAATAAATGAGCTAGAAACAACATTTGACGGGGTACAAACTGATATCTCAACAAATGAATTAAGAGAAGCTTTTGTTATAGTGACCACTTGCAGTCAAGTCACGACTGTATACGAGGATACCAATTGGTTCCCTCAAATAAACAAAGAGTTTGCCAATAATAGAGCAATAATGGAAGTAAAAAGCACCTTTAATTATTATTTCATAAAGAGAAAATATCTGATTATTTGAAAAAAAAATATATTTCATCACGGGGAGAGGGATTTTTAGCCATCAATTACGCCTTAGGAATTTGGCTCGTCAAGTGAAGGGTTTTTATCTCTAGTAGTGACTAGTCCCTTACGATTTTCTTTGTTACTTAATAATCAACTGAACAGTTGTAATGGTAGTCATTCTGTCAGTTAGTCTCCCGAATTTCAATATCGAGATTTCGTTCGAGTTCCGCGACACTTGTGTTGGATGTAACATATGTTCAACTACAACATCCCAGATTTGGACACGAGGGAAGTTGTATTATTTTATAAGAAAAGGCGGGACTTTTTCAGGACATTTTTGATTGTAACTAATACATGGTTAAATGGACACACGATAATGCCCCAACTAGAATCCCTTACAATTTGTTTACGTCTAAGTGGAGCGAAAATCAAATAACAACGCACAACGCAATTGAATGAATACTGCCAAAAATTTCAGGCAAAACTTTTCGGTACAAATGCCTTATTGCTTTTTTAGCAAAATGTTGGTACTCCCGAATTACCTTAACGTCAGCAATTGGACGATGATGCTGCAAGAAATTATTTTGGGATACTATACTCTAACAAAACTGGTATATTTGAAAGGTGCAACTTGTTCACTGGTCAGATGACCCGGCTGCATCTCTTCTATTTTCAACAAATTCTCAATGCCAACATAACGGTGCAACCTGCCTTATCTGTCGTTGACGAATAACAATGAACTGAGATCAATCTACACTGCGTCCATTGTTAATCAATAAAGTGATTAAGACATATAGTATTTCGTTATTCAAGAGTATGTAATTTCTAAAACTTTGTTGGTCAAAGACAAGGAGTTCAGAGAAACGAATAATAGTTTCGCTTTGAAATTTTTTGGCTGATTTATGCAACGGGAAGACGAATTAGTTTTCGTGAAACATCGATAGCTTTAAATATTTATGAATTTGTTAAGCAAAGTTTCTACCCTAACGTAATTAGTGAAAATGTTTGACCTGGTTAGTGAACAAAGTCATGGAGTCACCTCGGTGAGAAACTCATTATCAGCCACGGCTCTTCATGAGCATTTTCTAGTAGGTAACAAATACAAACTTGTAGAATTGGCAGAAGTTCCGGCGAAGTTTCTTCTTTGTCTATTATGGTGCCTAAATCCAGAATTTCTATTAAATTGACAAGTACCTTTTTGTTATGACACATATCTTAAGAGTGGGGGAGGAAGGGGAGTTGGGGAAACCTGTCGTTAATCAATGACCAGTGGTGATTAGGGTAAACAATAAAATCTGACCAAATAGAGTTTTTTCCACAACTTCAAAGTCGAAATGCAAATCAGTCAGCTAATTAAGGACTCAGCACATATTTGATCAATATACGAAATCAGCTATAACTATCGTTTAATCTTTCATATTAACCCAGATGCCAATGTCATCCTCGCCTTCAGTATCCATCTCTCACACTTCCCATTAGCAAACATTTTCGTTTTTATTCGTTGGAGAAAAAGGTTGAATTCATCACAACATTGCGTAATCTATGAACTTAGTTTGTTTCGAACTAATTATTGACAAATATTGACACAAATATTCTTATAAAGATCTATTTTTAAATTCACTCGTTTCCTTCCGTGTTAAAGAACAAATACTGTGACTATTCAAGTTCAGTGGCATTAAAATGGATCATTGAGGCGTATAAATCTGTCCCATGATTTAAGTAAGTTTGTTTACTGATATTAGTTAGAATACCATAACAGTGATTTTAGAATTGAAATGAGATATTTTGCCTTCTCAGAAATTCAGTGTACATTTGTACTTAAAAACGCCTTTAGCATCGCCTTTGTAGGTCGTTCAGTGATTGTCTGGACATTGCAAGCCAGAGGGCGATATGGAAGTATGCTTCCGCAGGCTAGTGAACCAATGGAAAGACAAATTGGAGTTTAATATGACCATGAAGCCAGTCCCTTGGTAAATTATGATTTTGTGCCTGATGGTTGTTGTCTCCCTCCATTTACTTTTACTGGAAGATCTACTCTTTAATATTTACTTGAATTATCTATATGGTAAGGCTCTATATATGTTACCTATGACCGCATTTCCAACAATTTTATTTTGATGCAAATGAGATTACTAATGGATAACAAGGAGATTCGAGATGAGGAAGCAATTTAGCTTCTCTTTTTACTTTCAGAATGTGGTGATTGCAGTGATTTAAAAATGATTTCACTGCCTTGATCATTGACCTCTAAGCATAATGTGCCTCGATACCATTTTCAGATGATAGTGAATCTAGTACTGATAAGCAGTACTGTGTTTTCATTTGATTTTGGCAAAATAAAACTGTGGTAGATATGACCGTCTATGCTTGTCTG